TATTCTAGGAAACTGCCTATAGTAATGTCTTGCGATTCCTCTCAAAATGGTTGTGGTTCGGTACTGTTACAAAATGATGCACCGGTTTCTTATGCATCAAAAGCATTCACTCCCACTCAGCAGCGATATGCTCAAATAGAAAAAGAGTTGCTGTCAATCTGTCATGCGTGCACAAAGTTTCACAATTATATTTTTGGTCGTTCCGATGTAACCATCGAAACAGATCATAAACCGTTAGTAAACATTATAAAGAAACCAATTATAAGTGCACCAGCACGTTTGCAACGTATGTTATTGATGTTACAACCTTACTCTTTTAAATTAATATATAAACCAGGAAAACAGCTATTTTTAGCTGACGCGCTGAGTAGGGCATTTCAAAATGATGTGGATGAAATTTTTGAAAGGAAATGCTTAGAATTTGATAATCACTTATTATTTGTCACTGAAAACTTGCCGATCAGTCAAGAAAAATTTGAAAACTTGAGAAGGGAAACCTTAAAAGATAGTCATCTTCAAGGGCTAATTAAATTAATTACAGAAGGTTTTCCTAGTAATAAAAAAAAGTTAGGTGAAGAATATAAAATTTATTGGCCTCACAAAGACGAGCTTACTTATTCAAAAAACTTGATTTTTAAAAATAATAGAATTTTCATTCCAAAATCACTTAGAAGAGAAATGTTGTCTAGGTTGCATGTGGGACATTTAGGTATTACGAAAACCAAATTAAATGCAAAACAGTTGATATTTTGGCCTACAATTAACTCAGATATTGAAAATCTAGTCGAATCCTGTGATATTTGTCTGTCTAATAGCAAGTTTAACCAAAAAGAACCAATGTTACCTCACAAAGTACCATCTGGACCGTGGAAAGAGGTTGCTACCGATATTTTTTATTTTAATAATGAAAGTTTCTTGATTACGGTGGATTATTTTTCGAAATTTGTGGATGTACAAAAACTCCCAAATGACAAAAGTGTGAGTGTCATAAAATCACTCAAAAAACTATTTTCAGTTCATGGAATTCCAGAGTCTTTAATTTCAGATAATGGTACATGTTTTAGATCATCAGAATTTCAGAATTTCGTTAAAACTTGGCAATTTAAACATATTACAACTAGCGCACATAATCCACAAAGCAATGGTCAAATTGAAAGATTTGTGCAAACTGTCAAAAACACCATGAAAAAATGTGCTGAATCACGTTCTGATTTTCATTTAGCACTTTTGGATTTGAGAAATACTCCAATAGGACCAAATTTACCGAGTCCTGCTCAATTAATTTTCGGTAGAAGGCTAAAAACCACGATTCCTGTCATGGATAATTTGCTAAAACCCAAAATACAGCCTATTCCCACAGTTCGAAACAAATTAATTGAAAGGCAAAATAAACAAAAAAATTATTATGATAAGCACAGTAAAGAATTAAATGAGATTAAGCCGGGTACATTGGTTAAAGTACAAAACTTTAAATTAAAAGCTAAAGAAAAATGGCTCAATGGTACAGTAATAGGGAAAAATAATTGTCCTAGATCATATAATGTGAAACTAGAAAAAACAGGGAATATTGTATCTAGAAACAGAAAGCATTTAAAAATAATTAAATCTCAATTTCAATTTGAAAAAAAAAAAGGGGAAATATTAGGAGAAAACTTAGATAATTTACCAAAAAATAATTTAGACTTGTCTAATAAAAATAGCTATAATTCAGAAAGCTATGATAGATTTAAATATGATGGTATTTCTAGTGATAATTTGAACGATACGTTGAATCTAAGTATGCCAGGTACTAGTCAACATACTACTCCTGAGAGTGTCTCAATGTCCTCTTCTTTTCATGGGTTTCATTCATTCAGCAATTCGAGTGAATCACTTTCAAGTAATTCCTTGTCACCTCCGGAATCACCTGTAAGAGAGATGCCGAGACATTCTCCAGTGAGAAATACAAGATCAGGGAGATTGGTTAAACCACCAGTTAGGTTAAGCTTGTGATATTAGTTTGTATTTTTTTTTTAAGTTAAGTTTCAATTGTTAGTGTATAAATTTAATCTTAGTGTCTTTAGTGTTAAGTGTTAGTATATTTATAAAAAATAAAAAAAATTAAAGTATTTATCTAGAGACTGCTAGGTCTTAAGTTTGTATATATAGAAAGAACTGAGTGCCAGTCAGAAATTGTAACATCTTTTATGTAATTGAACACATCTGTGATAGCAACTTTAAATGATATTGTGAAAAGACTGATATTTTGAAAAGACTGATATTTTGTGTAGTGCTATTATTCTATTTTCAAAAAAGGGAGGATGTGATATTTGAATTTGAACTTGAAATCAAATGAACATTATTAAATACATATTGCGCACGAGATCGCGCATGACCATTGTCAAAAGATACTTCATCTAATAAATCTCTTTCTGGTCTGGCTTGCACCGAGCAACATGTTTTTATTTTCGCTCCCTCACATCGATAATTTTAAGAAATAAAATTGAAGTCAAATATCTTTATTAAGTAAAAGTAAAAAACAAAACAGTGAAAATACGATACTACTTATAAACAAATGTCAAAAAATTGAGGTTTCAAAGTAGGCCTTGTTTTTTTTGACAGTCGATACAAAATGGCGTTTTTTTTGTGGCTCTGTGGCTGTGGACTCAAGATTGAGAACACTCTCACCTTTCGGCATTGTAAATTTAAAAAAAAAAAAAAAACGCCATTTTGACCCTCCTAGCGTTACGGTGTTGCCAAAAGCTACAAATTTTAGTTAACCCACTCAAGGCCGGTTTCTCAATAACGAGTCACCTCCGGGCTGGTTTTAATTCCAGGGTAAGCTTGTCCAGCTGCTATGTTTACCTTGGAAGTTATGCTTAACCCGAGGGTGACCTGCTATTGAGAAACCGGCCCTCAGGGCCGTAGCTATAGAGTCAAATATGTGATAGAGCATGACAAATTTGACATAGGGCATACACTACTTGTGCCTAACTTCCCTTAAATTATAGGTAAACAATCTGGTGGTAATGGCGCCGAAGGCAAATTTTTCAATAAATAACATGTCTGGCAAGTAAACAAAATGGCGCTGATTCTCGCGCCGCCTTGGACCATTCGCATCAAGGATAATACACACTAATAGTGAAATCCATTGGTAGTTTAAGTGCGCACTGAGTGCCAGCATCTAAAAGAAAGTGACAGAAATATATATTTTTTGTACTACTTTCACCAATCGTTTTCGCCATAACTACTACTACTATTATAGCTTATCATCTTAAGGTCTGTGTATATAAAATCTCAAGCCCCCCACCACGCCAAAGAACCAGTGATTACGTAGGCAGCATGTCGTTTCTCGCCTTGATGTAGGGTGTTTTCATCACAGGTTATGATCTCATGATAACATTTTTCATCATAAATGTATATTCTAAACTACAACCGTTGGTGCAAACAGCTGACGACGTAGTTAATGATGTCGTCGATACTGTTACACCAAAAGGCCGCAATTTCCACAAATGAGGCCGATAAGCAATCCTAATGTATAGTAGTGTGTATTATCGTATTATCCTTGCATTTGCGCTCTTTCGAAACGAAAAACTTCCTCTATGTAAACATCAAACATTGTTGCATACATTTAGGATTTTTCGGAAAATAATCATTTGAAAGATAGGGCATTACTCTCCAATGCCCCCCTTGACTGCGACCCTGAGCCCACTACGAAGCTTGAAATAGTTAAGTGACGCTGTGGATTCTGGGTTGGAATTCTATGACTCCGGCTCTTCGAGCTCGTATAACCTCGGCCCTTCGGGCTCGTGATTAAAATAACTCCGGCCTGTCGGGCTCGTATAACTCCGGCCCTTCGGGCTCGCATGACTCCGGCCCTTCGGACTCGTATAACCTCGGCCTTCCGGGCTCGTAACTAAATTTAAAATAACCTCGGCACACCGAGTTCGAGATTTGAAAACATATAGCAACACTACTTATGACACAACAAACGTCAAAAAATTGAGGTTTGAAAGTAGGCCTTGTTTTCTTTGACACTCGATACAAAATAGCGTTTTTTTTTTGTGGTCTTGTGGCTGTGGAGTGTGGACTCAAGCACAGCTAACTCAAGATTGGGAACACTCTCACCTTTCAGGATTGTAATTTTAAAAAAAAACGCCATTTTGACCCTTTAACGTTACAGTGTTGCCAAAAGCTACAAATTTTAGTTAACCCACTCTACTTAAAAACCTTCTATTGAGTATTCGAAAACTTTAAAAATAATATGAATTAAATTGGTTCTCAAGTTATGGCGTAACCCGTTTGCCTGATTACTTTTATGACGTCATTTAAGGTGCTTAAACATAATGCAAATTTGAGTTGTTCGTGTTATGGCGCGAAGAAGGTATTTTTGTAAAGGACCTTGCACTCTTCAGTGATCTCTTATCGAAATCTGGAAAGTTTGGCAATTCCCACACAGCACAAAAAGTCTTGAAGATACATCTTTTTCAGGTCTGCATTACGTCTGAGTCTAAACGTCTGAAGACCAAATAAAAGACGTCTAAAACTAAAAGACGGTAGGTACTTGATCTTTTCTATTGAAAATGGATTGATGTCAGGAATCCGCCAATAAAGTGTACTTTTTTTTGATATCAACCCATTTTAAATTGAAAAAGATCAAGTACCATAATAGAGCTATTTGTAGAATCGTGGCCTTGAAACTGAATAATAATTTATGTATTAAAAATGGACTTTACGAACACGTTAATACGATTAACCCGATCACCAGCTGTTTGTTTTTTATCTTTCTTCAGTGAAGACGATTAAAAAAAGACAACTACATCAACTGCTGATCGGGTTAATCGGATATTGATCGGTTCAGCGTTTCCATAAGATACAAATTCAGTGGCCACATAGAATATGCCTTTAAAAAACATCTCATCAAAAGACGTATTTACTCTTTCTACGTAAATTATGTCCTAAAAACGTCTTCAAGATGTCTCTGTGTTGTTTATAATAGGTAGGTACTTATTATTATAGACCTGTCTAGTTTCTTGTAATAATAACGCGCCTCTTTGGGATCCAAATTCTGATCTGTATGCAAAATTTCCTCGTATCGCATCAACATCTCTGTTGGCAAAATGTTGGCATAATCTTTCCAATTAGCGTAAACCTAAAAAAAAATTCAAATAATTGCTAATTATTTTACAAAATAAATAAGTACTCTTCGTTTATTTGGTATAGCAAGTTGTATGAATCTTGGCGAACAAGGTTCCAGCATGCAAACTTTCTTGTACTTTCTAGTTTTGGGTTTTTCGTCGAATTTTTGATTCGGTATGGACAAAAAGTCCATGTATTCGTTTTGCGACCAAACATTTCGGTCAAGTAAAGTGGGTTTTTGAGGTTTTTGAATGTTTTTTTTCGCTTTTTCTGTTTTTATTTCCTCAACGTCTACAATAGTTGGTTTTCGGGTTTGTTCCAGTCTCAGTTTGGCTCGGCATATTTCAAATGGGACATCAAGGGGTGATTTAACAGGGGCAATGGGTTGTTTTTTGGCGTTTTCTTTATAGTTTCTATAGGCGAGGCCCCATATTAGTTCGTTTTGGATGCTTTGTAGATTTTCTTCGGGAATTAAATGCTCGCATTTCGACATTATTTCCAAACAGTAATTTTTTTTTTTTCAAAAATTTGATCTGTTAGTGCCAAATTCAAAATTTGAATTTAACAAGGTTTGTGTTTATTTTGCTAGATGTCGCCACAATCAAAATGTCAACTTTGTTGATAAAAATTAGTACAAACCTATTTCGCTAGATGTCGTCACAATACAAATGCCAACTTTGTAAATAAAAATATGATGTCACCATTTTGTAGTAACGATGTTTATTGAATGAGATTTTTCTAGGCCAATGAATAAATGTGTTTATTTTACTATTTTATTTAAATACAAATTATTTTAATTAGGTAAATGTTAGTGGAGCCCCAAGACCTTCAACAAACTAAAAATCAAAGGTTAGTACATTACTAATTAATAAATCAACCTAAAATAGGCGAGCAATGAAAATAAACGGCTTAAAAATAGAATCTATTTTAGAGAACTCTCCCCTGGCTGGATTGAAGCAGAAGAGGCTTTTTAGCCCTACAAACAACATGGAGCTAAGGCCGAGAAATTCCAGGACTTTGAGCAGGTCCAAATCCAGGACCCCCTTTTTGGTCCAGGAAATCGAAGCTGAAATTCAAAATCAAGCTGAAAAAACTATTGTGAAAACTACAAGGAAAACTGTTACAACTACTGTTCTTGAGTAAGTGGAATTTTCCTTTTATATTATGTAGTAATTAATCTCAAAATATTGTAATAAACATCTTTACAATTATTTGAAATTTGGGTTTTTAAACAGTGACGTCAGAGTCCCAAAAATGCGAGGTTGCCAAACTTCTTATCAGTACATGATTATAGGAGATTTTGGCAACCTTTGGTACAGGGATGGGCATCTACGCGTAAACAAAGATTGTCTACGTCTGGTTTAAACAATGCGTAGACAATGTAAACTATATTTATTTATTTATTTATTTCACACTACAGAGGTATACAATGGGTATATAAATATTCAATGTGAAGTACAATACATTTTTTTTTTTTTTTCTTCAAAAAGCACCTAAGTGATTTAACACTTGTGTTGTGCTGAGATTATAAACTAGATTACAAATTTATTATACCTAAGAATGGTTAATTTATAGTTACAATTACAATACAGTGAAGTGTACATAATATACATAATGTGCAATATACCTAAAAGAAAACAGAAAGTCAGTAGCTTAGGTTGGTTGGTACTACTACTACTACTTAATTCAAAATTTTATCAAATGCTATCAAATTATGAAAAATATATTTTTTCGATTCCCTTGCAAATAATTTATATTTCTGGATTTTTCTGATCTCCATTGGCAATATATTGAAAGCTTTAGGGACAGTATAAATGAAGAATCTATGGGAAATACCTTTATTAAATCTACGAGTTGACAATAACTCATTCGATGTACTACGAGTCTGATACACAGAGTTACATTGAATTTGAGTAGGGAAATTTTTGAATGCATGGATACATATTTTATGAAAGTATAAGGTGCGAATATTACATACCTCCTCTGTATAGAGCAGACTAGTAGTATATCTTCTTTGTTTTCTATAAATTATCTTCAATATGTAGTTTTGAATTACATTCAGTTTTTGCAGTGCGTTACCATACATTCCTCCCCAAACCAAAATGCCATAACAAAACAGTGATTCAGCAAGAGATTTGTAAATTAATAAAAGTAAACTCCCTGAAAGAAAATCACGCATCTGATAAAATTTGTAGATAAGCTTTCTCACTCTTTTTGTAAGGTAGTTCACATGACTCGTCCATTTCAAATTCCTATCTAAAATTATGCCCAAGTACTTAATCTCACTCACCTCCTCGATATGCTCATCCATGCCCTGAACACTGATACTATTATACTCTAGCTTGTTAGCATCTGATAGAGTATAGGCAAGATAGTGTGTTTTATCAACGTTTAGCGACAAATAGTTGAAGTTTAGCCAATTTTTAATTTTTTCCATGCCCATTTGCACAGCCAACTTGGTTTCCTCCCATGTTGCACCCTTAAATGTTACCACTGTATCGTCTGCGTATGCAACAATTTTTACGTCAGTAATAACAGATAACAATGAATTGATATAAAGCAAAAAGAGTATGGGTCCAAGGACTGTTCCCTGGGGAACGCCTATTTTAATATTTTCTGGATTACTAAGTGCATCACCGATCCTGACATACTGCATTCTATCTGTCAAATAGCTCCGAAAGACATCCAACACCAAGCCACGTATCCCAGAGCGCTCTAGAGTACTAATAAGTCTAGCGTGGTTAACAGTATCGAACGCCTTCGCCAAATCAAGGAAAACAGAGATGCATTTCTTGTTTGTGTCTAAACATTGCAGTACTTCTAATAAAACAGAATACATGGCATCACTTGTAGATTTGCCATCGCGAAAGCCAAATTGGCACTCGTGCAAAATATTGTACCTATTCAAAAATGATACCAGACGGACTTTTAGGCACTTCTCAAAAATTTTTCCAAAATTGCTCATCACACTGGCCTATAGTTACTAATCTTTTTTTTATCACCAGCCTTATGAATAGGGGTTACGATAGAAGTTTTAAACTGTGTTGGAACAATTCCTTTAGTAAAAATTAGATTAATTATATGAACGAGGGGCTTTAGAATATATTGATGATTATCCTTTATCATTTCAGTAGTAATTCCGTCAATACCAGGAGCACAGGAGTTTTTTAACGTGGATATTTGTTTTATTATTTCATTCTCTGTTACAGGATTCAAAAACATCGAATCTGCGTTTGAAATGTGTCTCTCAGAAAAGTTCACTGGAGGTTCAATTTTTTTTGACATATTCAACCCAACATTAATAAAGTAATTATTACAGTGATTTGCCACCTGATTATTGTCTGTTAAAAGGAGACCCTCATCATTAATGAGGTGCAATGAATTTTCTGAGCGAGTTTTCTCATTTGTAGCTTCTGAAATTATTCGGTAAATTTTTTTAAGATCGTGTTTATTATTTTGAATCTGATTTTGATAGAAGTCATTTTTTGCTTTTTTTATGAGCCTATTTAACTCGTTTCTGTATGTTTTATATTGCTGCTCTAGTGCATGGGAATAATGTCGAGTCAATATTTTTTTCATTTTGTCTCTATTTTTTATTGATATGATCAGGCCCTCGCTTATCCATGGCTTTATCTTTTTTTTCTTTTTGGTAAATATTTTTTCAATTTTTGCTCTATCTACAAAACTACTGAAAGTATTTGAGAATTTATTGGTGGCTAATTGTGGGTCATCAATGCTCAATATATGGTCCCAATTTTCATTTTTCAAAAATGTTTTTAGTGCTCTATTATCTATTTTTATATGCTTTTTAATGAGGTTCTCCGAAAGAGAATTGGTTCTAGATTTTAAATGTATACTCATAAAAATAGGATAATGATCTGTAAAGTCACATTCCACAATGTACGAGTTAAAGTTTAAATTTTGGAACTTGGTTGATTTTTTTAAAAATATATGGTCTAAACATGACTGACTTTCTAGTGTAATACGAGTAGGGTTTAAAATATAGGGCAAAAAACCATGTTTGGCTAGTACTGATATAGTTATTTTCCTAACAAGTGCGCAAAGTGTTACTTTTCCGCACGCAAACACAGTTATACGAACGACGCGAAGCGGAGTTCGGATACGTGTTTGCGTGCGGAAAAGACACTTTGCGCACGTGTTAGGAACAAAATTTTTCCTACGAGCTTCATATCAGGTAGGTAACAACAAAAATTTAAAAAAAAAACGATAATTTGTTTAATTATTTTTAATTAACTTGAAGGGAACCTATGCATTTATCAAAAAATTACATAACAAAAAAAAAATATAACAGAAAATCATCGTCAGAGCTCTTCATCTTAAAGCGTTTAATGGCGATTTCCATTTGTCATCAGTGCCGCACTGAGTGCATCCGCATCTTTTTCTAAAAGCATGTAACATGTAAGGATAAGGATACATTTTTTTGCCCTGTTTCGACAAATGGAAAATGCTATAAATTTGATGAGAAAGTTTGTAGATGCATATATATAGAAAACAAATCTGACAATGTGTTGAAGTTAATTAAATTTGGTGTTTGTAGGTATAGATGTTAGCTGGAACAGGAACAGAGGAAAAATTTGTCATCATGTGTCAAAGTCGACAGGTGTACTTATTGTTGCTTGACAATTATTTTTACTTTTCGGCACTCAGTGCGGATAAGGCCTGTATCCGCACTGAGTGCGGAAAAGTGCAACTTTGAGAACCGAAATGCGTGCGGAAAAGTACTACTTTGCGCACGCTCGTAGGAAAAATATCTATTGACACTAACATTACTGTCATTTAAAAGATTCACGTTTATGTCTCCTATAAATATTGCGACCTCATTTAGCTGCTTGGAATTTTCCAGGTATATATCAATTTCGTCAATGAATGAGATCAAGTTACTTGGATTGGGTCTATACAAAGCAATAATTCTAAAATACATACCATATATCTCTATACATGTAATACATAGGGTCACACCACACATATCAAGTTTTTGATTCAATACATTAAAAGTTAAACTGTTTTTAATAAGAATTAATACTCCATCATTTCTATTGAAACTTCCGCCGCTATGAACTGTCACAAAACCAGGAATATTGAGGTTCTCAGAAGCTACTCCCTGGAAGCACTCACCCAACACAAAGATGTCACAGTTCATCAGCTTGTACGCCTCAACCAGAGTAATGAAATTATCGAAATTTTTATTTGCACTCCGTATATTAAAATGCATAATATTTAAACATTTATCCGAAGATGCTAGAAGAGTTTCACATTTTCCAGGATGGATATAGTCACCACGATGATCTTGATCTAATTGTTCTAGGTTGTCTAGTATAATATCTTGATCGTTTAAAACCATTATGAAGAATAATCAATTTTATTCTTTAATAAATCAATATGAAATTGTAACGTGGGACACTGGGTGTTATTTGCTTCGTGATTAACATCATGGTTTGTTTTGTATTTATTATTAGAATGGCAGCAGTTTACACACATTTGGTTTTGTTTTGGACAGTCTCTATATTCATGTTCTTCACTACAAAGCGGACAGGCAAGTTTATTTGTACAGTCTTGCTTCATATGATAAAAACCTTGGCAGTGAAAGCAGCGTGGGACGGATAGATCCTCATAGACTGGATAGCGTTCCCAAGAAATATAAATCTTTTCCAAATGTAACAGATGCTTGAACGAGGAACCTGAGCATTCTCCAAATATGGTTTTGTTACCATTTTTTCCATTTTTGATATATGTCACATTGAAATCCTGCAGAGTTTCATTTTGTTGTAATATTGAGTTGGTTATTTCTTCTTTTGTCATATCTTTATTAAAGTTTGTAATCTTTACTCTTGGCTTTTTCATCCTTGTTGTTTCTATTAGGTAAGTGTCTTTCAGTTTTTCCTCTGCTGCCGCTTTGAGAACATCCACTTCGTGTTTATTGGCACACTTGATCAAAATGGCACCAGATTTAGTTGGTTTTAGTTTTTTTATCCCAATTTTTAATTCAGTAGGGTTGATGTTTATTGAGATATCATTTCTCGTTTGCTGAACATCTTGGGGGATCCTTGGTTTAATGATTACATCGGGGATATTCTGAGGTATAGTCTTGTTAATAGACTGCCGGTTTTTCTGGAGGACA